TGACTCCTTTTCTTTGGCAGAGAATTCCACAGCCTGACCACTCTCTGGGTGAAGAAACGTCTCCTCATTTCAGTCCTCAATGGCCTACCCTGTATCCTTAGACTGTGACCCCCCTGGTTCTGGATTCCCTGGTCATTGGGAACATCCTTCCTGCATTCTGCTGTCTGGTCCTGTTAGAATTTTATACGTCTCTGTCAGATCCTCCTTTATTCTTCTCAACTCCAGTGAATATAGTCCTAACCAATTTAATCTCTCCTCAAAAGAGTTTGATAGCTCAGCTATGGAACACACAATTGCTACGGACAATGCCTGAAGATCAAGAGAAAATTAGCACCAAGGCTCAGTGTAACATTTCCCAATGTAGGGATTGTGGTTGTACAACACACACAGAGTAAACACAGCCATCATAATCGCAAGCACCAGTCAGAATACATAGACAGATACCGGTAGTTGATAAAGGGATAGAATAGTAAACGTAATTGTCAGAGAAGGTGAGACTAGAAATCGATCATTGATAGAGGAGATATAGACAGAGTTGACGAACAGAATGTTGTGTGTAGATTAACTACTCAATTTCTTCATTTGTCAGGGCACTGATTATAGGAGTTGGGAGGGCATGTTGCGGCTGTACAGGACATTGGTTCGGCCATTTTTGGAATACTGCATGCAATTCAGCATGCGGGTGGCATGGTGGCTCAGTGGCTCAGTGGTTAGCACTGCTGCTCACAGCACCAGGGACCTGGGTTCGATTCCACTTTGTGTGGAGTTTGCACATTCTCTCTGTGTCTGTGTGGGTTTCCTCCGGGTGCTCCAGTTTCCTCCCACAGTCCAAAGATGTGCAGGCTAAGTGGATTGGCCATGCTAAACTGCCGATAGTGTCCAGGGATGTGTTGATTAGGTGGGTTATAGGTGGATGGGTCAGTGTGGATTTGTTGGGCTGAAGGGCCTGTTTCCACACTGTAGGGATTCTATGATGATGATGATTCAATTCTGGTCTCCCTCTTTAGGAAGGATGTTGTGAAACTAGAAACAGTTCAGAAAAGATTTAGAAGGAGGTTGCCAGGGTTTGAGGGCTTGAGCTGTGGGTGGTGGGGGGGTTGGGGGGGTGGGGGGGGGTGAGGTGCTACCAAATAGGCTGGGGCTATTTTCTCTGGAGCGTTGGAGGCTGAGGGGTGACCTTATAGCGGTTGATAAAATCATGAGGGCCATGGATAGGGTAAATAGACAAGGTCTTTTCCTTGGGGTGGATAAGTCCAAAACTAGGGAGCATAGGTTTAAGGTGAGAGGGGAAAGATTTAAACAGGACAGAAAGGGAAACTTTTTCACGCAGAGGGTGGTGCGTGTGTGGAATGAGCTGCCAGAGGATGTGGCGGAGGCTGGTACAAATACAACATTTAAAAGGCATCTGGATGGGTATATCAATAGGAATGGTTTAGAGGGATATGGGCCAAATGCTGGCAAATGGGACTAGGTTTATAAAGGATATCTGGTCGGCATGAACGGGTTGGACCGAAGGGTCTGTTTCCATGCTGTATATCTCCATGACTCTATGAATCTTCATGTTGTGCAGTCAGTTCCCTGTAATGTTCTGGATGTTTTGTGTTCTTGCTCTTGAATAGTAAGATATTAATATATACGATACAATACAGCACAGGAAAAGGCCCTTTGACACACCAAGCCTGCACCGATTCCTAATCCTTATTTAGACCTGCTACTTATTGCCTATATACAGTTTCTATCAGAGATAGTCAGAACTGCAGATGCTGGAGAATCCGAGACAACAAGGTGTAGAACTGGATGAACACAGCAGGCCAAGCAGCATCAGAGGAGCAGGAAAGCTGATGTTTCGGGCCAAGACCCTTCTTCAGAAATGGGGGAGGGGAAGGGGGTTCTGAAATAAATAGGGAGAGAGGGGGAGAGCCGATAGAAGATGGATAAAGGAGAAGATAGGTGGAGAGGAGACAGACAGGTCAAAGAGGCGGGGATGGGGCCAGTAAAGGTGAGTGTAGGTGGGGAGTTAGGGAGGAGATAGGTCAGTCCAGGGAGGACGGACAGGTCAAGGGGGCAGGATGAGGTTAATAAGTAGGAGATGGGGGTGGGTCTTGAGGTGGGAGGAGAGGATAGGTGGGAGGAAGGACAGGTTAGGGAGGCAGGGACGAGCTGGACTGGTTTTGGGATGTGGTAGGGGGAGGGGAGCCAGATGCCAACTCTCCGACACCTCCTCCTACCGCCCCCTTGATCATGACCCCACCCCGACCACCAAACCATCATCTCCCAAACCATCCACAACCTCATCAGTTCAGGTGACCTCCCACCCACAGCCTCCAACCTCATTGTTCCCCAACCCCGCACCGCCTGCTTCCATCTCCTTCCCAAAATCCACAAACCTGACTGCCCTGGTCGACCCATTGTCTCCGCCTGCTCCTGCCCCACCGAACTTATCTCCACCTATTTTGACTCCATTTTCTCCCCCCTTGGTCCAGGAACTCCCTACCTACGTCCGTGACACCACCCACGCCCTCCACTTCCTCCAGAACTTCCAATTCCCCGGTCCCCAATACCTCATCTTTACCATAGACGTCCAGTCCCTATACACCCGCATTCCCCATACAGAAGACCTAAAGGCCCTCTGCTTCTTCCTGTCCCACAGGCCCGACCAGTCTCCCTCCACTGACACCCTCATCTGCTTGGCCAAACTCGTCCTCACCCTTAACAATTTCTCTTGCAATTCCTCCCACTTCCTACAGACAAAGGGGGTGGCCATGGGTACCTGCATGGGCCCAAGCTATGCCTGCTTCTTTGTAGGTTACGTGGAACAATCCCTCTTCCGTACCTACACTGGCCCTAAACCCACCTCTTCCTCCATTACATTGATGACTGTATCGGCGCTGCCTCGTGCTCCCACGAGGAGCTCGAACAGTTCATCCACTTAACCAACACCTTCCACCCCAACCTTAAGTTCACCTGGACCATCTCTAATACCTCTCTCTCCTTCCTGCACCTCTCTGTCTCCATCTCCGGCAACCACCTAGAAACCGACATCCATTTCAAGCCCACCGACTCCCACAGCTATCTAGAATACACCTCCTCCCACCCACCTTCTCAGATGTCCTCGTTTTTCAAGGACCGCAACTTGCCCCCCTCAGTGGTCGAGAATGCCCTCGACCGTGTCTCCTGCATTTCCCGCAACTCATCCCTCACACCCCCTCCCCGCAAATAACAACGAAAACAGAATCCCCCTCATTCTCACGTACCACCCCACCAACCTCCGGATCCAACGCATCATCCTCCGACACTTCCGCCATCTGCAATCCGACCACAACCAAAGACATGTTTCCCTCCCCACCCTTATCTGCCTTGCGGAGGGACCACTCTCTCCGTGACTCCCTTGTCCGCTCCACACTCCCCTCCAGCCCCACCACACCCGGCACTTTTCCCTGCAACCGCAGGAAGTGCTGCACCTGCCCCTACACCTCCCCCCTCACCCCCATCCCAGGCCCCAAGAAGACTTTCCACATCAAGCAGATGTTCACCTGCACATCTGCTAATGTATACTGCATCCACTGTTGCCGTTGTGGCCTCCTCTATATCGGGGAAACCAAACGGAGGCTTGGGGACCGCTTTGCAGAACACCTACGCTCGGTTCGCACTAAACAACTGCACCTCCCAGTCGCGAACCATTTCAACTTCCCCTCCCATTCCGCAGATGACATGTCCATCCTGGGCCTCCTGCAGTGCCACAACGATGCCACCCGAAGGTTGCAGGAACAGCACCTCATATTCCGCTTGGGAACCCTGCAGCCCAATGGTATCAATGTGGACTTCACAAGCTTCAAAATCTCCCGTCCCCCTACCACATCCCAAAACCAGTCCAGCTCGTCCCTGCCTCCCTAACCTGTCCTTCCTCCCACCTATCCCCTCCTCCCACCTCAAGACCCCCCCCCCTCTTCTACCCACTAACCTCATCCCGCCCCCTTGACCTATCCGTCCTCCCTGGACTGACCTATCTCCTCCCTACCTCCCCACCTACACTCACCTTTACTGGTTCCATCCCCACCTCTTTGACCTGTCTGTCTCTTCTCCACTTATCTTCTCCTTTATCCATCTTCTATCTGCTCTCCCCCTCTCTCCCTATTTATTTCAGAACCGCCTTCCCCTCCCCCATTTCTGAAGAAGGGTCTAGGCCCGAAACGTCAGCCTTCCTGCTCCTCTGATGCTGCTTGGCCTGCTGTGTTCATCCAGCTCTACAGTTTCTATCCCTCTGTTTGCCTTCCATTCATGTGTCTTTAAGATATGCCTTAAACGTTGCCAACATGCCTGCTTCCACTACCTTCACTGGCAGTGTGTTCCAGGCCCCCATCACCCTCTGTGTGAAAATTTTCCCCACACTTCTCCCCTAAATTTTCCCCCTCCCACCCTGAACCTGTCCCCACTTGTATTTGACCTTTCTATCCTGGGAAAAAGTCTCCATCTATTCACCCTTCCTATGCCTCTCATTGTTTTGTAGACATCTATAAGGTTGCCTCTCAGCTGCCATCTTACCATGGAAAGCAATTCGAGTTTATCCAACTTCTCGTCATAACTAAAACCCTTCAGACTAGGCAACATCCTGGTAAATCTTCTCTGAACCCTGTCCAAAACATTCTGGTAAAATTTGGCGACCAGAATTGCACACAATATTCCAAATGTGGCCGAACTAAAGTTTTGTACAGTTGTGACATAACTTGCCAACTTTTATATTTGATGCCCCAGCTGAAGGCGAGCATGCTATATGCATTCTTGAACATCTGTGTTTCCACAGTCAGGGATCTGTGGATGGCCAGATCCCCCTGTATGTCAATGTTCCTAAGGGTTCTGCCATTTATTGTATAATTCGCGCCTGAAATTGATCTTCCAAAATGCATCACTGTATTTTCAATATTTGAGAAGGATATTGCTGCAAGACTCTTTATCGCTGTGTTTTTCAGAACTGTTCATGAGTTTTGTTCATCTTCATTTAGGCTGCAAACGTCAATGGTTTGAAGCAGTCCACACGAGACCGCAATCCACAGTGTTTCAACCGAGAAGCATTGTCCCCAAAGGAAACATCAGTCCCCGAGGATGTTGACCATTTTATATCCACGGAGTCAATGGATATGGAGGGGGAAGATTCCCCTTTGTCCTCAGTGGGTATGTCTAATGCACATGATTTTGAAAACTGTAGCTGAGCTGAAGGATCTGGGTTTGCAGATCCATAAATCTTCCAAGGTTGAAGTGCGAGTTGAGAAGGTGGTGATCAAATCATACACATTGTAAGAGTAAAGAGGTCACGGTAGGAAGTCCCAGACCATTGCTTGGGTCTTAGCTGGAGAGTTGTGATCAATTCTGGACACTGCATTTTAGAAACATTGTTAAGGCCTCAGTAAGGGCTCACAGGATGTTTCCCAGGATATTTGTAGGACTGACAGGCTTCAGTTGTGTTGACTGCTTGAAAATGTTTGGATTATTCTCTTTGGAACAGAAGCAACTAGGAGTGACCTTCCAAGATAATGAGAGGCTATGACAGGGTTGATGGAGAAAAACTAGTCTCTCTGGGCAATGCCAACAACTGGTGGTTGTTCATGGAAGTTCCAATGTTCCCACTGGCAAAAGATCTAATGGGGTGATATTGACAGGACATATTTTTCATTCAGAAAACTGTCACAATTTAGAATGGTCTGGTGCTGGAAGCTAATTCAATAAAATAATTTAGAGAAAGTGGAATAAAACAAAGAACTGCGGATGCAAGAGATTTGAAACAAATAAGAACAGGAAGTGCTGGAGAAACTCAGCAGGGCTGGCAGCATCTATGGAGAGAAGGTCACTGATTTGGAAACGGTAACTCTGTTTCTTTCCCCACAGATGCTGCCCAACCTGCTGAGTTTCTCCAGCACCACCTCATTTTGCTTGTTTAAAAGAAAATAGAACAGGTGCTTGACAACTAAGAGTTAGCAAATTACGGACAAAAGATGGGGATGTGCGCTGGGTAGAATGGCCTCCTTCCATTTCTGTGAATCCGCAATCTGCGAATATTAGATTTTTCTTTGTTATATTCTTTGATTCGTGAATACTGCATTCCTGCTGCTGACATCCAGGTGCAGGCTTAATCACCAGCTACCTGATCCTGTGACTGTTTATCTTACCCTGCATCAAATGCTCAATACAACAGGTTTGTCACTTGTAGATGAATGATTTGTCCAACCATCTCTCGATCCAAACAAATTGAATGACATTGAGTCATTTGATATCATACTGTGCCACAAGTTAATCACATGCTATAATAGCAGCACTCCAAGACAGAGCTCAGTCATGGTTTCAGTAAAATTTAATCAACAGTGAATTGACTAATCAAAATAGAAGACATCTTGGGCAATATAATTACAGGGCTATAAACAGTAAACAAAATAGAAACATGAGGTCACTGACGGATCCTCAATACAATGTTACTCTCTGCTTTAGTTCTGGTCTGTATTTCATGTCAGTGTCTTTGCTTTTTCTCCCTGAGAAGCTGATTTTCACATCCATCTCACACTGACGACAGGAAACTCCATCAGATGTCATGGAAAAAGAGGCATTTTTTTGCCCCCTACACTTAAATGAGGGCAAGAGAAGGCCAAATGGCTATCAAGCAGCTCAGCCATTCAGTAAGGTGGTGCTCTGTCTCCTCTATCAGTTCTGTTTGCCTGCCTAACTTATATATTCTTACATTCCCTTAGAATCCAGAAATTTACCAATATTCAAGACATGAGGTACTAAATGACTCAACAGTCACAGCTCTCTTGGGTATAAAAAATTGCAAAGATTCTTCTGAGGAAAGAAATGCCTTCTCATCTTTGCAGAAGACACAAAACTAGGTGGAAAGGCAGTTTGTGAAGGGATACAAACAGTTTACAGAGAGATATTGATAGGTTCAGTAATTAGGCAAAAAAGTTGATAAATGGAGTTTAATGGGGGAAATGTGAACTTGTTCACGTTCAAAGGGAGAACAAAAGATCAGTATTATTTAAATGGAGAAAAACTGCAGAAAGCTGCAACACAAAGGGTCTTGGGTTACTTGTACAGGAAACACAGAAAGCTAGCACAGATGCAGCAGGTAACAAGAAAGGCTAATGGAACGTTGGCCATTTTTTCAAGGGGGTTTGGAGTATAAGAATAGGGAAGTCTTACTGTATCTGTGCAAGGTGCTGGTGAGACCACATCTGGAGTACTGTGAGCAGTTTTGGTCCCCTTATTTAAGGAAAGGTATCATTTCATTGGAGGCAGTTCAGCAAAGGTTCACTAGGATGATCCTTAAGAAGTGATCAGATTCTTAAGGGGTTTGACAGGGTAAATGCTGAGAGGATGTTTCCCCTCATGGGAGAGTCTAGGACCAGAGGACACAATCTCAGAATAAAGGGGAACCAATTTAAGACTGAGATGAGGAGGAATTTCTTCTTTCAGTGGGTTATGTCTTTGGAACTCCTTTGCCACAGAGAGCTGTGGGGGCAGAGTCCTTGTGTATATTTAAGGCTGAGATAGATAGATTCTTGACCAGTAGGGGAATTGAGGGTTATGGGGAAAGTGCAGGGAAGTGGGCATAGGAATGTCAGATCAACCATGATGCTATTGAATGGTAGAACAGGCTCAAGGGGGCCAAAAAGCTTACTGTTCCTTGTTCTTACGGCTTTATGGTCTTATCTCAATCTTAATGAAGGAAAACATATGGCATTCTGACAGTTGCTGTCTGCTGTTGTGATAGCAGTTGATGGTAACGCTAAACAAATAAGATCCCAGAATGATACCTGACCTGATAGACCATAAGTTTTACATTTTTGATATGTGTTACTGTACTGGTCAGTCACTGAACATTTCACAAGAGGTTTCCAATATACTTTTAAAAAAGTAACATCAAAGTTTATTACACTGAAAAGGAAAACAAAATACAGACTGTTGTACATTGTACCAGATTGACTTGAAATGGTCTTAATACAATTCTCAGAAATAAATGTTCAACCCTTTTACTCTCAACAACAACTTTACAGATACTGAACCCTCAGTGAAGGGTCATCTGGTTTCCACTTTAAAGTTCCTTGCTCAGTCAGCATGGCTATAATTGGTTTCTGGAGCTTTCTTACTGACCTCTATGCACTTTTGGATCAAACACATGGCTTTTCCATAAACTCAGCTTCCAACTGTATTCTGCTTCTAGAATTTTCTTCTAAGCCATTAAGGACTATTTTCCCTAACCCAGACATTTTTGAAGACTGCTAAACCAGCAGCGGCCAATTACAGTAACCGCACTATGCACACAGTCTGATCTTCTGAATTGTGCTATCTTTCTAAGAAATTAACTTTAGTCACTAGGCAGCAGTAGTTTGTTTCTTGTGCCTTTTGTTCCTAATGCACTGAACTGTTCACCTCAATCTCTATTCTAAGGCTGTAAAGCCCATTAAAAGTGCATGTATCAACATATGTCAGACACCTCATCACCATACACAGAACAAATCAAACATGAAACTAAAATGATATCTCCCTTTTTAATACACACAATGTAGCAATACAAATCAAACTTAAACAAATTCATGGTTCTGTCCATGTTAGAACTTAGTTTTCAAATAATGAAAGTTTATCATGAACCTTCATCACACTACAATTCCAACCACAACTTGCATTTATGTAGCACTCTGAATGTCGGTGCAACATTCAAAGGTACTTCACAGGAGCATTATTAGACAAAATTTGACACCATGATATTAGGTCAGGTGACCAAATGCATATTCAAAGAAATAACTTCCAAGATGCATTTTAAAAGAGGAGAGAGAGAGAGAGAGGTCAAGGCACAGAGAGATTTTAAAAAAAGAGAGATTGAGGGATGGATTTTCAGAGTTTTGGGTCTTGGCAGCTGAACACATGGTCACCAACGATGGAGTAATAAAATCAGAGATGATGAGAGGGAGAAGCCCAGAGATTTCCATGATCACAAGGCTTTAGAGTTTACAGAGAAAGGGAGGGAGCGAGACAATAAGTTTGAACATAACATTGAAAATTCTAATTTCAAGGCATCACTGGCTTATTGAAAAGTGCCTCAATGGGCTAGATTTGATGAGCTGAATGGCCTACTTTTATGTCTAATGACTTTACGGTCTGTAGTCTCTGGAACCAGCTGAATGAGTTTGGCCTTCTGGATTCTAATTGTTGCAGTGAAAGGCCATTCGTCCCCTCTCCACAGCTTCCTTCCAGAATGTGTCGCATTTTCAGCTTTTATTCCAGTCTCCAGTATTCACAGTATTTTGCTTTCAAGTTCGAGTTGCGATTTTGTTTGTCATTCACTGGTTTTGTCCTGGTTGAATATTGTGAGCCTTGAGGTTTGGAAGAGGTTGTAAGATCAGAGATCAGGCCACTCAGTGTTCACTGTGACTCAGTGGGTTTTGCTTCTGGAGACCTGGTTGAAGGTTCAAAAGCTGTCCTATAACCTTGAGTGTGGAATCCAGGAAAACAATCCCAAAGCAGTTACTGAGAGGGAGTTGTAGGTCCTGTCTTTCAACAGAGACTTTGATCAAATGCACTCCATGTCTTCATAATCAATGTAAAAGATCCCTTGGAATCAAAACAGAAAGGGCTGGAGAAACTCAGCAGGTCTTGCAGCATCTGTGGAGAGAGAAACAGAGTTAGCAACTTCAGTCCAGTATGACTCTTCTTCAGAACTACGTTTCAAAGAGAAAGAGCCTCTTTGATTTCAGATCATCAACTCTGTTTCTCTCTTTAAAGATGCTGCCAGATGTGCTCAGCACTTGCTGTGTTTATTTCAGATCTCCCGTACCTTGCTTTTGTGAGAGGTCATTGGCATTATCTGAAGAAAATGGTGTCAGTCCTCCCCGAGGTGCTGGCCAAAGTTTACTTGCTCATGATCACATTGCTTTGTGTGGGATCTGTCTGTGTGTAAACTGCTTGCCTTTTCAAAACCTCATTCACAGGATGTGTGTGTCACTGGCCAGGCCAGACTTTCCTGTCCAGAGGGTAACCACATTGTTGTGGGTCAGGAGACCAGGTTTAAACATCAGATTTCCTTCCAAAAGGGAGTTTGTGAAGCAGGTGGCATTTTCCTGATAATTGTCAATGGTTTCATGGTCATCATTAGATCTTTGTAGAATTTCATAAAATCCCTACAGTGT